CACAAGCTCAGAAGCACCTTGGAATGAGACATACTCGTAATGTGGATAACTTTTGGGGAGAACAAGAGCATGACATTGCAATGGGAATATTTCTCTAAGTCGAGGGTGGAAAACTAGTCTGCAGGCCTGCTGCTAGTTTCTATAATGAAGTGTCACTGGGACAAGGCCACACTCAGGTGTTCATTTATTGTCTCTGGCTCTGCTCACTCTTTCTTTTTTTATTTTTTATTTTTGAGACAGAGCCTCAAGCTATCCCCCTGGGTAGAGTGCCATGGCATCACAGCTCACAGCAACCTCCAACTCCTGGGCTCAAGCAAGTCTCCTGCCTCAGCCTCCCAAGTAGCTGGGACTACAGGCACCCGCCACAACGCCCGGCCATTTTTTTGGTTGCAGCCATCATTGTTGTTTGGCAGGCCCAGGCTGGGGATTCGAACCCACCACCTTAGGTGTACGTGGCTGGCGCCTTAGCCGCTTGAGCCATAGGCGCTGAGCCTCTGCTCACTCTTCAAAGGCTGAGTTGAGTAGCTGCTAAGCCCAAAATGCCTACTGTTTGACCCTTTATAGGACAAGACTGCTGATCCTAGCTCTAGGCGATATACTTTCCATCAGAAAGTCAGCTGGTCAACACCAATCCATACCTAGTAGGGACATTACCTGTGACTGTGATAAGTAAACTGGAACCAAGGTCACTCAATTCCATTTAATCAGTATTTACCCCCTGAGGAGCCACTCTGGACAGTCTTCCTTAGGGGCTGGGCTTACAGAGGGGAATAAAGCTGGGCCCATATTTCTTAGAGGAGTCAGGATGTAAACAAAATAATTTCCATACAACGCAGGAAGCTGTGAGAGCAGGATTTAATGTTGTATTCTTTCTCTAAAGTGGACCCTGGAAATGTCACCTTTTTGATCTTTAAAACTTTGAAATTCTAAAGCCATAACCATGGGCTAAGATCTCTCGCTTAAAAAAAAAATACTAGAGGTGAAACTCTAATTCTGTGAAATTACTCATTACCTTTTACAGGGAAGATCAACCTATTGGAATTTTTCCAAATTTTCCAAATTTGCTCTGGGCTTTGTAATACACAGTTCTAATCTCTGTGTTGAGGACTGAAAAAAGAAAAGGTATTGAGATACCAAGGGAAACATGGTTGGTTAAAGAGCTAGACTTTTGTTTTTTAAGATTGAGTTTTTAAATTGGAATCCATTATTAACTGGGTCACATATTAACCTCCTGCCAAAAGAGGCATGAGGACAAAGACAATGCCTGGGCTCACCCGAGATTTCATTATCTACTATCTGTCTCTGCTACTTCAACTAGGTATCAGGTGAATTAAGGAGAAAACCAATTTCTGCATCCCTGGGATGTAATGAAATGGATTATCCTTAGGCGGAGCAGAAGAAGACAGAAAATGACGGGTGCCGTTTCACATCTGGGTTTCTGTCCTGCCCTGATAACTGTTTATTTGTACCAGCTATTGACAACAGTTTTGTATCATACAAAGGTTTTTTTTTGAGCTTCCAAAGTAGAAACAGGATGCATCTGTTTCTAGGGAAACCTATGCTTGCAAGCTCGTGGGTTTCCACTCACCCTCACGCCTATGGTGGCCCACTGTTTAGTGACACTCCTTCCCCCTCATGTACCTCATCTCATTTTTAAAAATTAATGCAACAATGAGAGATGATTGTTGATGCTCATTATTAAATCATTTATTCATCCCACACAATGATTCAGAATTATTCACTGAGCTTGCTGGAAGGAAGCTGGATTCTACCTCCATGGGGGTTTGGGGAGGGATGTGCTCTTTAAAAGGATATTTTATAACAACACAATTATCATAATTAAAAGCTACCCAGATATTCTGATGAGCTTTTGACATATTTTTGACTACTGGCATTTCAGCACAAGGGGATAAATGAGACTGAAATAGTATTAGGGAATAATATTGCTGTGTGTGGGGGGAGAAGCCAGAGGCAACATTAAATACCATCTGCCACCATTACCCCCAATTTTATCCCAGTCTTCAAGTTAATGAATTTTACAAAACACCACTTGAACTTCTGGCTTTCCAAAATGAATTCCAATTACACTGTTGTGACCCAAGCCATTCACTGCATTACTGAGTCATGGATACATAGAGTCCCCATGAGAGCCCACCTAACTGGGCTTCCAGATCGCTCAAGTGGCTCAGCCCTCAACAGAGCTGCAACCACACCTGACTTGGACCTCTTTCTGATGCTGCCCAAGGTTTGTTCGGTCTGAGAGATCAGTAAAAGAAGGGTCTGGTTTGGGAAGCTACTCAAACTGACAGCAACTGCAGGGAGGGATCCCACTTCCCTGGTGAGCAGGTTTAAGTGAAGACCCTCAGTCTGATGGCTATGAAGAGGTGGTGGGTAGGGAAACAGAGGGGAGAGGGGACTTGGAAAGAAAGATTGCTAAGCAACCCTGGAGAGCCCCACAGGGACCAGAGCAGGGAGATGCGCAGTGGAGGCCACAGAGGCCACGTGTTGGGAGTGTGGTGGGTCCAGGGCTTGCTCTGCCCTGTGCCTGGCATCCAGATGATGCGAAACAAACAAAAGAGCTATGCTAGTCGGCCACCAAGGGCAGGAACACAAATCACTCCACAAATACTGAGGAAGCATTTAGTATGAGCATCGCCTGAGCCAGGCCGCCTGCATGCAGAGACGAACACAACCTTGCCCCTGCCCTCCAGGAGCTGACAGTCCAGCTCGGGATTCAAACAAGTCAATGCTTGTGAGTCTGAGACAACAGCTGGAACTGATGAAGAACCGGGATGGGTTCCAAAGTTGAGTGGGCATGGCCAGGTGAAACTGTGGAGGCCGGAGGGAAAGGCACTGGGTGAAGCAGTGAGGGCCTGCACCTTACCTGGGGGTGAGGGGCCTCCAGAGGGTTCAGGCTGAGCAGCTCATGCACGCCCCCCTCCCCCAGCTACCAGGAGGACAGTGGAGCAGGGAACCCAGTGCAGAGTTGCTGCCTCATGCCATGGAGACCTAAGGAAGTAGATAGGCTACAGAGACGTGGTGGGGGTACAATTAAAGGGCTGTGAAATACTTAGTACTCCTCCCCCTGCAGAGGGGCCCTGACTGGAGACAGGGGTGTAAGGATTCTGTAGCCTGCTGTTATTATAAGTAGAACAAGGACACTAACTCTGTCTCAGGCCTGTCTCAGGTCTCCTAAGCAACCTCCTAATTGTGTTCTGACCTCCCAAGCAGCTCTGCTTATGGGAGGAGACTACACTGCCAGGCAGAAGGGAGGGCTTCAGGCTCACTGGAAACTAATCAGCTGGCATTCTGGTTGTAGAAATCAGCCCCAGAGCTGCGGTAACTGGAGCTCACCTGCAAACAGACCAGCTCTGGGTGTGCTGACAACTCAGGTTCCTGAGTGGACAGGGGGTTGGCACACCCGGAAGTGATGCTGCCTGCTGGGGTTTTTGGTGGGCAGTTAGCAGTCTTCCTGCAAGGATGCCCTGTTGGAGCTGTGGGTCTCTTCCTATCTGGGGGTTCTCTATCCTACGATGGAAAAATGCAGAACCAGATGCCACTGGGGAATGTGGCTGATGAAAATGCAGAGCAGAGAGCAGTCAGAGGGACAGCATTTGCATCATTTAACACTTGATTTCAAAGGAATCATTATGGCTTTATTCTCTGTTACAAAATAGTCTCCACGGTGGCACTGATTCCACTCTGAACACTCTGTTTCCTCGCCATCAAAACATTTTTCTGCACCAATTCAAGCATAGCATGAAATTTCAAAGGTCTTAATAGAAGTTTTCCAACTTCATCTCCATGGAACAGTTGGAAAACGCCTTCAATTATGTGAGCTTTTTGTATGATGTCTCAAAAATACAGAAGGGTCTATGGTGCTTTTCTCCAGTAAACGCAAACACATTTAATACTCAAGATGAAAAGCAGAGGATCAGCATTCGCTTTTTGTTTTTAAACGAATATTTGCTACTAGGTCAGGCTGCATCCCTTCTTCTATTCCAGTGGTTTTCAACCTTTCTTTTTTAATCTCACAGCATACTTGAACCTATTGTTAAATTTCCATGACATACTTTAATTATATTGATGGAGAAAAAGAGTAAAAAAAGAATATACTTACTGTGCTCTGAACTTCTTTAAAAAATAATTTAATTAATAATCTTTAAAAATTTTTGTGGCACACTGGTTAAACATCACTGCTCTATCCCATAAAAAATAAGTGAATATATTTAAACTTTATAAGCGTCTGATACAAGGAAGCCCAGGAAAGATCTGAAAGCCCAGGAATCCTGTCAAGTGACTGGTAACCCAGGGAAGCAGCCCAGAACACACCACTTCTCTCTGGAGGCCGAGTGGAGGTGTGACCAGAGGAGAGAGGTGGTGCTGGGGTGGTGCCACAGAATCTGCCATCTCTCCTCCCACAACGATCAGCTAAAAATCTATAGCAGGTCAGGATGGAACTAGATAACGTTTCTCTCTCCGGATTCTGGAGGAGGACTTAATCCACTCAAAAGAGGAAAACCGACAAGACCCCAGAATCTGCCCAATAAAGCCGCATCCCAGGATTCCCCGGCGTACAGCTGACTGGTGCGAAGCTCGGCTCTCAAAGTTTCTGCTTCCCATAGAAATGAGGAGATGCCCCGACTAGTGCACCTTCCCTTCTCCCAGACACATGTAGCCACATTCATATCCATCAGCCCCCAGGGCTCCCTACTTCTAGGACTTCCATTTTCAGCTGTGAGCAGCTGCCATAGGTTTGGCACTTGGCTCGGGGCTGTCCTATCTGCTTCGCTGGCCTTTCTCACTCACTGCTCACGTCCACCCTGCACAAGACCCGCTCCTACTGCTCCAGTTTACAGATGGGGACAGTGAGGCTCAGAAGGGTGCGGGAGCCAGGCAGCCAGCGAGGAGTAGGGCTGGGATTAGAACCCCAAGCCAGACTGCAGAAGGGCCAGAGAAGGATCTGGAAACTCAGCCTGCCCTTCCACTGGGGCCACTACCTGCTTTGATGAGCTTGTCCGCCATCTCCTTCCGAATGGACTTGGTGAGGTTGAAGTAGTCATCGTCTTCTTCGATGCTGCACAGGAACAGTGGAATGTGCTGGAAGATGACGGCGTGCTGGCAGTGTCTCTGCTCCGCGAGTCTCAGCTGCTGGTCCAGCCACTGGTCCTGGGCCTGCTTCAGAGCAGGGCACCTGGAGGCGTCGTACAGTAACTGGGAGTTGAGGACGAGGAACAGGACGCCTCCAACCCAGAAGCTGAAATAGTCGTCTCCCCAAGTCTGGCAGAACTCCTCGATGGTCTCGGCAGTGGGGACGTTGCCCACGTCGTGGTTACCACTGACCAGAACCAGGGGGATCTCCTTGTCAACTTTCCTGAGTATCTGCTGCAGGTCCTTGGTCTGCTCCTTCCGCCATGGCATCCCTGAAAAAGTGAGGGTCATGTCTAAGGTGACCAGATTTTAACATTGGTAAAGCAGGACACCATTGATGGGGACGAGAGGGTAGGGGGTGTTCTTAATTAACAATTTCGTCTATATGGAGCAACACAAATGTTCATAGAATGCAAAAATAGTATTGTAATATATATTTTTTTAATTTCAACATAAAGTACAATTTACAAATATAATACATTAAAAAAAAATTATGTATAGGGTGGTGGCGCCTGTGGCTCAAAGAAGTAGAGCACAGGTCCACCTGGGCGACCTTGCCTAGGAGGGGAGTACATTAGCCTTTTCATTTCCAAATGAAGTTACATTAACCTTTTCAGCTGCCGTATATTCCCTTCCCTTTCTCTGGCCCTTCCCTATTGTTGTGCATTCTTTCCAAAAATCAGGACTTTTTAAAAACGCCACGGGACATCGGACAAATTGTTAAAAATCGGGACTGTCCTGCCAAAAGCAGGATGTCTGGTCACCTTAGTCATGTCCGAAGATGGCACTGGCTGTTCACATTCTTACTTAGAAGAAGAATCTGTAAATCCAGTCAACACAGCACACAGACTCACATGCTACAAGCAAATTGATGACAGGTGGTGTAAGTGCCTTTGTCTGCCCCCTTCCCACCTTTTTTGAGACAGAGTTTCACTTTATCACCCTCAGTAGAGTGCTGTGGCGTCACAGCTCACAGCAACCTCAAATTCTTGGGTTCAAGAGATCCTCTTGCCTCAGCCTCCCAAGTAGCTGGGACTACAGGCACCTGCCACAATACCTGGGTATTTCTTAGAGACAGGTTCTCGCTCTAGATTAGGCTGGTCTCGAATTCCTGAGCTCAAGAATCTACCCACCTTAGCCTGCCAAAGAGCTAGGATTACAGGTGAGAGCCACTGCACCTGGCCTTTTTTGTCCCTTTGAATGGAACCATTTCTGTCCTTCCCCAGGGCTCCCTGGAAGTTCACTGTCTGTGTGGCCACTGTTCCATGTTGCTGAGTGATGATGCACGGCCACTCCTAACATTAAATATAAGTGAAGCTTAATTTCTATCTTTTATTTCAATGAACACTTAAATATAGGCTGAGCACAATGGCTCATGCCTGTAATCCCTGCACTTTGGGAGGCTGAGGTAGAAGGATTGCTGGAGGCCAGGGTTTGAGACTAGCCTTGGCAACATGGTGAGATCCTATCTCTCTTAAAACAAACAAAGAATGCTGAACACAGACGGTTGTCCCTTTTCTCCCCTAGCCCAACAGAACATCCCACATATCTCGGTGATGTGGGGACCCCACTTCGACCACTGGCCCCACACCAATGGCTATTTAAGTTTTTCTTACCATGTAGACTATGTGAGTGCCTTTATAGGAAAAATCCTTAGACTGTGAATGGCTAGATCAACTGACATGGGCATCTTGCCTAACATCCCCTGTCCAACCGCAGCGTATGAGGGCACAGAGCTCATATGCCACAGTTGAGCATAGAGCCTTCTCCTGTACACGGGATTCAGAATGGATACGATTATTTGGACAAAGAGCTGGGGCAACCCTCCTTCGGACTGCTGGCTTCCATACTTCCTGTAATACTGTCTTAAAGCTTTAATAAATGGATTTTAAAATGACCAGTTCAATTCTACATTTGTTTCTTTGAGCCCATCTATGGAAATTCATTCAACAAATATTTACTGAGTGCTAACTATATGAAATGTGCTGATTTAATCACTGGGGATGACCTGTGAACTAAAAAGACACAAATCCTTCCCTCACCACCAAGGAGTCAGATAATTTGTCCAGTGAATTACAGATGCATGCCCATCTGTATCAGATGGCACCAATGTTACTAAGAAAGCAGGCTCGGCGCCTGTGGCTCAAGCGGCTAAGGCGCCAGCCACATACACTTAAGGTGGC